CAGCCACGAGCCTGTGGCCCCAGCGCAGAGACCCCCTCCTCAGCCACAGCCCCACAGTCCCTGCTGAGGGGACCCTCGAGTGAGCCACAGCTTCACATTCCCAGTGTGGGGACACCCCCTCAGCCGTGACCCTGTGTGGCCCAGCACTGGGACCCCCGACTCAGTCACAACCCCACGGCCCCAGTGTGGAGCCCCCTGCCCCGGTGACCCCCGACTCACCCTGCACGTCCCTGAACTCGTTGGACTCCTCCCCGTGGATGTGGCCCTGGAGCTCCGGGAACTGGGGGGGCACAGAGGGGGCTCAGCGTGGCGCGGGGGGCGCGGGGCACCCGGGGCACCCGGTCCGTACCCACCTCCTTGCCCAGGTCGTGCTTGATGACCTCCTGGATGAGAACGTCCGCCAGGGTCTTGAAGTCCTGCAGGAACCTCCTGTTCTTTTCGGGGCCCGTCTTCTCGGCCACCAGGAGCTGGAAGAGCGGCTCCTCCCGCCGGCACAGCCGCGCCAGTTCCGCCGCCTTCTCCGAGACCCCCACGAGCGCCTGCAGCAGCCCCCCCATGGCGGGACGGGCTGGGGGGACACGGCGCTCAGGGGACCCCCTGGGAGGGGCAGAGCCAGGGACGGGCCCTGCCCGGCCCCGAAATGATCCCGGGAATAGAGGAAGGAAGGGGGGTATGTGGGGACAACGGGGGACAGAGTGACATGGGGATGTGGGAACCTGGGCACGTGGGGACGTGGGGATGTGGGGACAGGGTGACATGGGGACACAGGGATGTGGGGACACAGACATGGGGACGTCGGGATTGTGGGAGTGGGGACATGGGCCTACAGGGACATTGGGATTGTGGGAGTGGGGACATGGGCCAGCAGGGACACGGGACGTGGACATGGGGATGTGGAGGTGGGGACATGAGGACATGAGGACATGAGGATGTGGGGACAGGGTGACATGGGGACGTGGGGACACACACGTGTGACGGGAATGTGGTGACATGGAGAGGTGGGGACATGAGGACGTGGGCATGGGGACACGGGGCCATGGGGCCACGGGGA